TGGCAATGGTCTGGGGAACTATACGGGTTGCCAGGGATTGAACCTGGGTTAGCTATGTTCAAGGCAAGTGCCTTACCCACTGTATTATCACTCCGGTCCCCCTTCACTGATATTCTTAATCACCGAACTTATAAATTATGATAAACACAATTTAGTCATATCTTGAGAAGAACAAAAAAGAATTCCAGGTACAACAATTATCACCTGCAGATGTTCTAAAATTAGCATTCTGAGATAACTCCAAAACAGTTTGTGAGCTGTGAAATCGAGTTCAGTTAGTCATTCATAGAAATGCTTCGTATATGATATAAATAACCAAATATCGAGATACCAACCAAGGCACATAAAATAGCACGAGACCTCTAATAGCTCAGTTAAAATATCCTGTGTCAGTCTTGGTGTGAAAGAGAATGAAATTGGGTGTGAACATTGCAAAATCTTTGTGCTTACACATACAATTTTAAGAATTACTTGTATAGGCACAGCCAAATAAAGGAGGTTTAAAGTTGAATTTATTATGACCCATAATCTGATTAAAAGAGAAGATAATCTAAGTCTAATGAAAGCATTAATCAGTTTTATAAAAGCATATTGATTTCAGATATCATTTCCCAGGTGGCTCAGTGTTGCATAGAAGATGTTCCATTTTATGGCACAGAGAAATAATTTAAAGTTAGAGTTTAAAAGGAGAAGCCAATGAATTATAACCCCCACTCACACCCCAAACTTCCGGGTGAGAGCATTTTTATTAGCAAGGGGTTTTATTCAGTTTGTTTGAGTTTGAAGTTTTCTTTGCTCCTCCTGATTCTAGTGATGTCAGGACTTTGGGGAACTGAATAATAGCTTCTTTGCTCAAAATGCTTTGGGACTTCTTTATTAAACATTAACTAAGAAGTGTGGTTCTCTTGGTGAAATGTGCTAAATAACTGTTTCCAAACTCTGCTAAGAATGCGTATGATCTGTCCTTCTGATAAAATAGTCCATCCCCATTAACCAGTCTGTGTGCCTTTGTTTGTACTGGCGTGATGTGGTATGTATGCAAATCGCATGACGTATATAATAATGCCTTTCTTTTATTACTGTTACTGTTGTTGTTACTGTTGTCTGTTTTGTTTTGGGTCCACACCCAGCAGAGTTTAGGAGTTAAGTCCTGGTTCTGTGCTGAGTGATCACTCGCGCCCAAGCTCAGGGGGCCATATGGAGTGCCAGGAATCAAACCCGGGTCAGCCGCAGCATCCTGCCCACTGTACTGTAGCTCCAGCCCCTGTTATTTCACTTGTTTATGGACTTCATTCTGCATGAAGATTTTGTTTTTAATATCATCAGTTCTCCCAACTTAAATTATAGTTTCTTGCAGCTGTTTTCCCTTGTGGATTCTGTTCCATTTAGTTTTGGTTATTGTTTGTTGTTGTGTTTTTTTTTTCCTTTGGGGAGGGGGCTTGATGAACTCCTGTTTATTCTTCCAGAACTTAACATTGTCACTAATCATCTGTGCCCTTTGCTCCGTCAGTTTTACACTCACAGCACCATCTTAGGAAGACCTGTTTTTTGTTTGGTTTGGTTTGGTTTGGTCTGGTCTGTTCTGCTGGATGGCAGCTCCACCAACCACCCATCCTGACTTGACTGCGTAACTTGGCCTTAGCAGAACAGAACAAAGGCCCTGCATTACCTCTTGTTGCCCCTGGCTGTCAATTGACTTGCATAGAGCAACTTTGAGAGTTGTTTTCTCCTGGGTTTTTGATCAAGTAGCACCAGGTGGAATAGAGTGATTCCAGTTCTGTCTTATCTGAAAAATTATTATAATGATTTTAAAGACCAGCTTTATTGAGGAATAACTTACAGTTCATAACATTTGCCCCTTTTTCAGTATAAAAATCAGGTTTGGTGGTTTTTTGTTTTTGTTTTTAACAGTTATGAAATTAGAATGATTCCAGGGGCCAGGGCTGCGGTACAGTGGTGGAGAAACCTGCTTTGCACGTGGTGCACTCTGGGTTCAAGCCCTGTGCTGTGCAAAATGCAAAGAACAATTTAACTCCCCTGAGGAAGTACTCACTGAAATATTTTTACATATTGATGGAACTATACGGAGTTGACCTGCATGGCCTCGGCATGTATCATGGACTCTCAGCTTTCCCAGCAGAGGCCTAGCTACCTCATGCATGCTGACACAACTCCCCAGATCTTCTGGATGCTTCCATTGACTCATGTTCTTTCTTTCTTTCTTTCTTTCTTTCTTTCTTTCTTTCTTTCTTTCTTTCTTTCTTTCTTTCTTTCTCTCTCCCCCCACCCCCTGCTCCCCCATTTTCTTGTTGTTGTTGCTCTTTTTTTGGTTTGGGGGCCACGCCTAGCCGTGCTCAGAGCTTCCTGTTGGCTCTGTACCCACGGATAACTCCTGGCAGGGCGTGGGGGGCCCTCTGAGTTCCTGGGGATCCACACCAGCTGCATGCAAGGCAGACGATGCCCTGCCCACTGTACTCTGTCTCCGGCCCTGTCTCCATGCTCTTCTCGGCAATTCGGAGCAATGGCTTCTTCATTCATTACATCAGGACTCTGGAGGAGGAGAGGCACTAACGTCGGTCACACTGGCAATCAGGGGAAGGGCTGGGGTTAGAACTGAGAGCCCCGGCTAGGTCCTCTGCTTGCCATAAGCATCCAGGGCTGCCCGTGGAGCGTTTGCTTGTGTGCGCCTCTGAAAAAGACAAATCTTATAAGCACATCTGCAATCATTACTGTTTAATCTGAAAAGGAGTGACTGTGTTGAAAGGTAAGCTCTGAAATCTGCCTTTCCTTTGATTTAGTTCCATACAATTTGGTTTGAGATCCAGTGGGAACATTCCGAATTTGGGTCAGGCAAAACCGGAAGAAAAAGCAGAAACAAGGCTGTGTTTTGTAAAACTGGGAAATATTGAGGCCACTCGGCCAGCAGCATCATTGCTGATTGAGTTTGCTCTGGGGATTGTTTCTTTTTTTAAGATGTAGAATGTTAACATCGGTTGACCTTTATCAACACAAATGGTCAATTATGTTAGAATCTGGGTTTGGCTGAGATTGAAATTTATTTCTCTCAGATTAAAAAAAAAGCAAGATAATCAAGATTCCGGCAGAGTAGTTACCAATATCTTAGGGCTCCTGTTTTTTTTTTTTCTTTTTCTTTCTTTTTTTTTTTTTTTTAAATTTCATTGTTCTTATAGAGAGAACAGTGTAGGTCTGAGTGAACGACAGGTAGTGAACCGCTCAGCTCCCTCTATCACATTTATATTCCTGTACCTTGTATATGGGCTGGAGCGATAACACAGCGGGTAGGGCGTTTGCCTTGCACACAGCCAACATGACCGACCCGAGTTCGAGTCCTCTGCCCCTCTCGGAGAGCCTCGCAAGCTACCGAGAGTTATGTCGCCTGCATGGCAAAGCCTGGCAAGCTCCCCGTGATATATTGGATATGCCAAACACAGTAACAACAAGTCTCCAAATGGAGACGTTACTGGGCCCGCTCGAGCAAAATGATGAACAACGGGAGGACAGTGACAGTGACAGTGACCTTGTGTATACATGTATTCTCAGCTTTACTTTTATTTTTCTTGGGCAAGGGGCACCGGGCCACACACAGAGCTGTACTCGGGACTTCCCCCTGGCTCTGCGTATTCCTGGTGGTGCTCAGGATTTCCCGCATGCAAGAGATTCAAGTGGGGTCTGTGAAGCCCCTTACCCCTCTGTTCTGCCCTGTTAACAACCTTTCTTCACATGTAGCAACGGGAGTGTCAGCTGGATAGAGACCCACATTCCAGCCTATTACTCCCCCAAATTTCTTACATCTCTCCCACAGTGCTTTTGCCTCTGTTACTCAGTCCTATCTAGTAAGAGGAAAGTTGAAATATTAACACATAATTTCCCTTGAAAGGAGGGGTGGGGGGAAAAAAAAACAAACATGCCCCCATGCCCCCTCCAGTTCTTGGAGCATTGATGAGATTAAAGGAGTCAAGAATTCCTGTTCTTTAGGCCAGAGAGATAGTACAGGGGTTAAAGTGCTGGCCTCGCGTGCTGCGGACCCCACTTCAGTCCCCTGGCACTGCTTATGCCCTCCCCGGCCCCCAATACTGCCATGAGTGATCCCTGAGCACAGAACCAGGAATGAGACCAGAGCACCACTGGGGATGGCTAAAAACCAAAAGCGTTCCTGGGCTCCTTTTGGGGGTGTACTCAGAAAGTGTTCTGGTCCTTGGTTGAGGGTGGGTGTCATTGCCTTCAAAAGCAAAAGCCGTAACACTGCCCTGTTTTCTGGCCTGAAGAGTTCCCATTCGAACTTCAGTATTTAACAAGGGTGCATGTCTTAACTCTTTATAATCTACAATATTCTAGGGGAGTGTCTAGGAGGTAGTATCTCGTTGTTTAACCTGTATTTAGTCAACAATTATAATGCCCTTTAAAAACAAAGGTGGGTTTTTTTTCCCCCTTGTTGGTTTCTGGAGCTCCTGGGTAACCTTGCTTTAAAGGCATTTTCCTCACAAACTTCTGTATCAACGAGACAAATCCATTTCTCGTGCTACTTAGCAGTTGTGAGGACGTGAAGGTACACCTAACATTTGCCAATGCAGTACTTAAATACGGGGTTCTCCAGGGGGGCTCTTGCAATAGGAGAAGATGGCTGGAGAAAGTTTAAAGTCCTCTTTGCAGGCAGATAATTCCCTGTGATGACATCTGTCCGTCCTGCGCTTGCATTTTGAAAAACCCTCAACGCTTACTTCTTCAGGTTCTGCGTACCAGTGTTCCCTTTCGGGCCAGCCCGATTTTATCAATGCTCACTCAAGTGTTCCTCATTAGCCCCAGGAGCTTCCTGGAATTCCTTTCTCTGTGCCCTTGACACAGCCGAGGGGTCCCGAAGGTCTCACGTCAGCCCGCTGGACAGCGGGTGGTTTCCCGGTCACCCTTTGTCGTGGGGGTGGATTCTCCTGTCTGTTGCCGGCCTCCTCAGCCATCACCCATGTTTTGTTTTTCTCTTTCAGATGACACAGTTGGTGCTGCCTGGCATGGTGGAAAGGTGAGTCACAAGCTCACACGCTCATGACTATTTATAGGGAGAATCCTTCCTTGGCAAGATTCATTAAAGTGACTAATGAACCTAGCCTCCACATCTTCGTGGCAGCGTCACGTGTGCGGCCAGTCACACGGAGGCGCGTGAGTCATCCATGGTGGAGGCCTTTTGCACTCGATTCCCTTTTTATTTCTCTCTCTCCAGGGTTGTGGGGGTTCCTTTAGATCGGGATTAAAAAGTCTGCCTGAGTCACCATCACTAACTCAATTGCCTGCTATTCTGAGGGGGCGGAGAGCGTTCCTGGGATATTCCCGGGAAAACCTTCTCCCCGAAGCCTGCACCCAGGCAGCCCAAGCCAGGGGGCTTTCCCCAGCCAATGCCCAGCTTCTGCTTCTCCACTCCTGACCAGCAGAAAGGTTTGCACGAGGAATTTAGGTGTGTTCCGAAGGGATGAGACGATGACAATTCCTTGTAAAACCAAGTAGTAATTCTGTAAGATTTGCAGAGAGGAAAACACGGAGAGACCGGAGAGGTAGTGCCATGGGGAGGGCAACCAACCCCTGTTTGAAACCCCAGCACCCCATTTATTGCCTGGAACCTGGCCAGGAGTGGTCCCTGAGTGCAGAGCCAGAAGGCAGCCCCAAGCACCACTGGGTGCGCTCCCAAAACCAGAACGGAAAAAACCAGATCCTCCAAAAGCCTTCTGGCTCACACCTCCTAAGTCTCATTATACCCTCTGTGTTTATTACACCTGTTAAGTATACTCTGTGTGTTTATTACACCTGATACCTATACACTGTGTGTTTATTATAGTTATGTAGACTCTATGTTTATGACACCTTGTTAGTATGTTAGTGTACACTGTGTTTATTATACATTGTTATGTAGACTCTGTGTTTATTACACCTTGTTGCATATACTCTGTGCTTATCACACCTTCCACCCAGTTTGGCTAGAGCCTGCCCTCTAAGCCACCCTACACCAGCCTTGAGGGTGACGGCTCCGATGGCTGGTTTCCTCCCGTCTCTGTCCTTCCTAAAGAGCCTTTGTGTTGCAGCGTGGTCTCTCCCTGCTTCTCCCCAAGATATATGAGCTTCTCAGCCCGGCTGCTGCACCCGTAGCCTTGGGCTAACTGGCTATCGCTCAACAAGTATCTCTAATCAGACTAAGGTATTATTACCATAGAGGTAGAAAGCATCTAATTACATTAGCGGGCAAAACTTGCTTTCCCCCACTTCCCTAGAATTATAAACATTGTGTACAGCTGGAGCCAGAAGGTGGTTGCCATAACAACCGTGGGAAAGCTAAAAATAGCCTCTTTCATACTGTATTGCTTAAGGTGGAATTATGACATGTTATGATGCTTCAGGGCAGGCGGTGGCAAATGTTTGCAAACTTTCCCCCACAATGCAGTCTCTGTACTGCATCCGTAAGCCCTGTCATGTGTTCAGATGGCTGGTTCTAATTAGATACCCCATGTCTGTGTCTCAGGATTCTTGCCTGACTCTGCAGCCCCTCTGTTTTGATCTTTTTTTTTTTTTTGAGGAAGGGGGGTGTTTGGGAGACTGAGAGAGAATGATACCTATTTCAACATGGTTCCGCCTTTTCTGTGTTAAAGCAGTGACTCCAAGAGGGCAGTGACTCCTTGGTATGATAGGGCCAGAGGTAGAACACCTCACACAGTCTCCCTCAGCTGCCATTCAGAGGCCCTTGGGACTGACCCTGGGCCCCCGTGTGTGATGGTGGTCAGGGGCCCGTGGCAGGCAGGAACCGGTGACTCCCCCTTCCTTTCTTTAGGACAATAGTGTTCTTACAGAGCTGTGCATAAGCATACCAACCAGACTATATTCCAGAGGTGTTTACATAAAAAGAAAGATTTGGCGGGGGGGGATTTTTTTTCCCCCAAATATTTTCCAATCCAGAATGACTGTTGAGGAGAGTCTTCCCATTGGGAATTGCACAGTTCAGAGAGAATTCTACTAGAAAGCAGAGCTTGGAGAGAGCTAGAAATGCAAAGTACCGTCTTGTATAGGGTTGGGTGAGTTTAAGCTTTGGCTGATGGGAGACTAGTAATTAACCATGTTTACGTAAAAAGGTATTTCCTTATCAGCAGCATTGTTTTCTTTGTTTCTGCAGTGTTTGGGTTCTGGGAACGTCTCAATAATGTGTACCACTTGTTTGGCTGTTAGCAAGTCATCTGCGAGATGAATTAAGAACGTTGTATCGCAGAAAATAGTACTTGTTTATTTGGGCATTTGTCATAACAAACTAGAAGCGCGCTAAAGTATGAGTAACATGAGTCTTCATTATGGAACTTCTGCAGATATTCTTAATGTACCTTCCAGTCTCAGAATTGTTCCCCAGGTCCCCGGAAAATGAGAGATTAACCAGGTTTGGTTTTATGTTTGTTTCTGTGTGCAATTAAGCGCAGCCCATTTTGTCCTTCTGCTTGATAGAACAGAGTTGTCAGGAGTCGGCTGTGCCATGGAAACTGGCTTTGACGTCACAAATTCTGCTTAGATGGAGGATTAGAGCCCTGCAAGGTCGTTGGTTTTAAAGACGAGTCCTTTGTGCCCTGCAGTCCCAGATGTTCACCCTCATCCCTGCATAAGAGCCAGATACAGTATACAGTACAAGGATTAGGAGGCGAGACCCGTGTGTTATGTACGATTCAGACAGAACTAAGCTGAAGGTTATTATGCTTGGAAAGAAGGAAGAGAATTGAATGCAATTTGGTGGGTGCGGGGTTGGGGTGGGGGGGAGGATGGAGGGGAAGGCTTGTGCTAGACTGACAAATCCATGAGCTTTTTCTCCAGCAGTTTATAGAGAGGTATTTTCTCTCCTGTCTTTGGTGCAGTTTTAAATGCTATTTTTTTTTTCCCCTTATTAAGAAGAGCCAGTGCATTCTTGCTTTATGCTTGAATTTATGTTCATGCATTTTTAGAGTGTAAATACCGTGTTTTGAGTAAAGTCCCTTTTCTGAATTGAAACAAATTCTAGAAATTTTCTGCTAGGCTAGGATATTTGAGGGGGGACAAAAAACACCTCAGTTGCTGCAAGGAGTGAACAATTAAAAAGAGCATGTCTGCGGAGTTGTGACGTGGGCTTGGCTATCGATCTGGATTAATGTTGAAAATGGGGAAGAAGTTTTGCTCTCTCTTTCTTCCCTTCTCTCTTTCCTTCTTTTTTTTTTCTTTTTGCTTTTTGATTTTTTTTTTATTTTTTTATTTTTGCCCCCTCCCAGAAGCTTTTATTTTCTGTGAGTTTCCCCATGTTGAATTCATTGCTTTGGCGACCCGTAAAGCAGTCAGAGCTTCACTTTTGAGGAAGCCAAGAGTTATTATTTTTTTAAACGTGTTTAATAACATTAAACTTTCCTTTCAGGAAACCTTATCATTTTATTTTATCTACAAGGACTGGAATAAAATATGTATCTTTTTGTTCAGGGTCGCCCCTTCCCCCCAACCATCACCCTAGCAAACCTGCATAACAGAGACGGGATCCCCACACTGGTGCAGTGAGCTGGCCTCTGTGAAAAACTTCTGCAGCTGCTTCTCAGCCTGATACTTTCTTCCCTTGCTCTTAATAAAGGAGGGACACACAATTCCTGGTTTCACGAAAGTTAAAGGGCTGGAGCAATAGCACAGCGGGTAAGGCGTTTGCCTTGCACGCGACCGACCCAGCCCACCTGGGTTGGATTCCTCCGCCCCTCTCGGAGAGCCCGGCAAGCTACCGAGAGTATCTCGCCCGCACAGCAGAGCCTGGCAAGCTCCCCGTGGCGTATTCGATATGCCAAACACAGTAACAGGTGTCACAATGGAGATGTTACTGGACCCGCTCGAGGAAATCGATGAACAGCGGGAGGACAGTGACAGAAACACTACCTGGCCCCTATGGGCATGTGGCTTCAGGCGAGGGGAGGGCTTCAGGATTGCAGTGGAGGCAAGCAGTGTTTCTCTTAACTTCCCACTCGAGTGGGATTTGCTCTGAGATTAAAGGCCACTTATCTGAGGGTCAGGGAGACAGCTCCAAGGATTGGAGCACACACGGGAGCTCCGGCTCTATCCAGTCTCGTTGCAAAGCTCTGGGAGTCCAGCAAGTTCCCTGACGGCTGGTCACGTGCCACTTGCCAACGAGGGCAAGGAGAAATGTGTGGTAGGAAAAACTAAGTTTCTCTCGCTCTCTCATTTGTTTCTTTTTGGGTTGTGGAGTCATACCCCGTGGTGCTTCAAGCTTATTCCTGGGTCTGGGCTCAGGAACCACTCCAGGTGAACTCGGGACCCCCGTGGGATATCGAGGGTTGATCCCAGGTCTGCCGTGAGCAAGGCGCGCACCCATCGCTGTGCTTTCACTCCAGTCTCTGCGGTCATTCTGGTTATTCTCTGTAAGAGAACTCTTTCTCAAGAGTTGTGTGTCTGATTTGATTCCTTTCCCTCTCTTCTAGATCGAAGGGTGTGATTATGAACATTTCCTCTGCCAGTGGCATGTACCCTGTCCCAATGCTGACCATCTACTCTGCAACCAAGGTGAGGCATTTTTTAGTAAATCATGTCAGCCTAAGAAAGAGGAAGAATCTTCCACTGAGAATTGAGCCTAGCACCACCCTGAAGGTCTGTTCTTGGTGGTTTCCAAATGGACTGGGAAGAAAGGGACATTGGCACCTGGAACTGGTTGACATAAACTTTGCAGACGGCAGCTCCCAAGATCTCAGATCCACAGATGGCTGCTTTTGTCCCACATAACAGAATAAATGTGTACATATAGGATGTAAACATAGAATGCCCACTGTTTGACCACATTTGCTAGAATACACAGACCTTTAGAATTTTCCACAACTTTCTATAAGATGTCATAGTTTTTCTATGTCATTGCTATTCACCTCTTTATAATTGTATGTTGCTGACATTTTCTGTTATTTGGGGGAGAGAGGTGTTTTTCTCTTTTTGTCTATTTTTTTTTTTTTGGAAGGGGCACAACCAGTGATGCTCAGGGGTTACTCCTGGCTCTGTACTCAGAAATCACTCCTGGCAGTGCTGGGAACCATATGGAATGCCAGGAATTGAACCCGGGTTGGCCACATGTCAGGCAAATGCCCTACCCACTGTCCTGTCACTCTGACCCCTACATTTCCTCTTAATAGCCTGCTAGTCTACTGGCCCCATCTTCATACATACCATCGTGACACAGAAGACACTTTTAAAATGGTAGCCAGCCTTGAGATATTGAGATCCAATAAGCTTTTAGGGGAAAGCAAACAAATGTGTAAAATTTTTCAGGATGTTAGAGAAAGAAAGTGACGGGCCATTCCCCACCACCCCCACCCCGCCTTCTTGGGTTTTTTGGTTTTGTTTTGTTTTTGTGTTTTTGTTTTTGTTTTTTTTTGGCTTTTTGGGTCACACCCGGCGATGTGCAGGGGTCACTCCTGGCTCACGCACTCAGGAATTACTCCTGGTGGTGCTCCGCGGGCCATATGGGATGCTGGGAATCAAACCCGGGTCGGCCGTGTGCAAGGCAAATGCCCTCCCCACTGTGCTGTCACTCCAGCCCTCGCCTTCTTGTTTTTCACTTGATTCTGCCCACTGGGAAGACTTATGAACAGTGTGACCTTGTCTTTGGAAGAAACCTGCATCCCACAGGCCACAGGCCTCCATTGTTGCTAAGCTCAGGGATGTGCGGCAGGCACATTTCAAAGGAGCCCCATGCTTTTGAAGGAATTGGTGAAGTCCAACTTCTTATCTGTTCTGTTCCCAGGACACGAGACTTATTAAGGGGCCCCGCAGGGGCATTATTAGTACTTGGGACTTCGGATCTGAGCTGGGTTTCGTCTTTTGAAAAATGATCCCCACCCTAAAGTCACTTTCGGAGGAGTCCTGTCACACTCTTGTCAGCCTTGTCTTGGATCTTGCCGTCCCAGAGGCTCCTGAGGGTGCTCGCTCTTTTCTTCTCTTCACTGACAGCGAAATCCCCACAGAACAGAGTTCCGCAGAATTCAGAGCGGGTTTCTGTTTGAGTGGCAAGTGGGGAGAAGGAATGAATCCTTTGTGACATCATAAAACGGTTCTTGGAAAGCAATTTTCTGAGGGGAAAAGAATTTCAAATGACCAGAAGAGAAGAGCCTTTTCCCAGTTCAATCCACATTTGATCCAGAACTGAAATGTGGGTAAGAAAATATGTAATTTGGTGGCCGTAGAGAGAGAAGCGGAGGTATTTGGGGGTTTGTTCTTTTTTTTTTTTTAATAGTTCTTTTTTCCTTTTTTTTTTTCTTTTTTGCATTTGGAATCCAACGAGTGATTAGAAGCTGTCATATTTTATGGTTAGATGGTTATTTTTTTTGTTTCTATGGCTACCGATCAGGAAGATTAATGTCCTGTGTGTGTTTTCTTCTCCCTCCCCCCCCTCCAGGCTTTTGTCGATTTCTTCTCTCAGTGCCTCCATGAAGAGTATAAGAACAAGGGTATCTATGTGCAGGTGAGTGGAGTGTGTGTCAGCTAAGGGTCCCTGTTTTTGTGTGGTTTCCACAGCAACACTGCTGTCTTGGCAACGGAAGAAAATCACCTTCCTCCGTCAGTGAATGTCATGTTAGTCCACCGTTCAAGTCCTGCGCTCTTTTCCTCCCAGGCGCTTAAGCCGAGGTTCCAGCAAGACTCATGGTCAAGATAGGTACCTCAGCAGAATGATGTCAGGGCCTGGGGGGAACAGTTGAAGCATTGTTATTGGAGGTGCTCGCCCTTTCATCACTGGAGAACGAGACCGTCAGCGTCTGCGGTCATCACCAACCACCATCACTTCTATCCGCTGGCTCTGGCGGGTGTGCTGGAACCATGTTCCCCACCACTCTAGTCAAGGAGCGGGGCAGAGCTGTGCTGGGCAGACTTTGACCATGGCAAGGCTGATGGTGGCCGTGGCCTCGCCTGTCAGTTTTTAATAGTGGTAAGATTAAAATGGCCATTTAAATCATTTTCAGGCATTAATTCGGTGGCATTAATTCACTTCATTGTCGCCCATCACTTGAACTTCCTTCCTTTTCCGAAACTTAGACTCCCAACCCATGAAGCAAGTGCTCTCCATTTGCTCCAGCCCTGCCCGGACCGCTAGTATTCTGCTTTCCGACCAGGCGGATTTGGCCACCCAGACACCTCCCGAGATGGAGTCAGTCATCTTTCCTCTTTTCTGGGACCAGCTTACTGCACTTGACCTGTTGTCTCCAGGGTTCGTCGGTCTTGTGGCCGGCACAAGGATTGCCTTCCTTCTGAAGGTTGAGTGAAATCCCACTGCGCGTTTGTGCCACCTAGTGTGGATCCAGCCATCCCAACAATGAACACTTGGGTTGCTTCCGCCTTCCTGTTGTGTGTTCGGGTCATGGGTGTATATACAGATCCCGTGATTTCCATTCGTTGTGACATTTGCTCCAAAGTGAAATTCTTTGACCACCTGGTAATGCTGCTTTCGAGGAAGAGGAACCCCTGCTCCCTGCTAGACTCTCTCTCTGGCCCTTACTCTGAGTAGTAGTAGTAGTAGTAGTAGTTGTTGTTGTTGTTGTTGTTGTTGCTGCTGCTGCTTTTTGCGTCACACCCGTTGATGCACAGGAGTTACTCTTGGCTCATGCACTCAGGAACTACTCCTGGCAGTACTCGGGGGACCATATGTGATGCTGGGAATCGAACCCAGGTCGGCCGCATGCAAGGCAAATGCCCTACCCGCTGTGCTATCGCTCCAGCCCCACTCTGAGTAATTTTTATAGACTCCTGGCTCTGCACTTGGGGATCACTCCTGGCAGTGCTCAGGGGACCGTATGTGGTGCCAGCGATCCGGTCCAAGTTGGCCACGTGCAAGGCAAGCACCATACCTGCTGTGCTCTCTCTCCAGCCTGAAGCTCTTGTTACCCCTTTTCTGCTGTCTGCCCACACCCCCTCACACCCGCACTGTGCCATATAGCATTCATCACTGTGAGCCTAGTATCTAACTTTTTACTTGCCAAAGCCCCAAATGATTAGTAGTGCTAATAATAATAATAGTGAAGATTTGAGGGCGTAGTTTTTTCAGACCAGTGTTATGATCATGTTCGTTAAGGGAGTAGTTTTTTTAGACCAGTGTTACAATCATGTTCGTTAAAATTTTGTGAAATAATTTATATAAAGAAATATATCATTTCTTTTATTTCACTTAAAAAAAATTATCACAGGGGCTGGAGCAGTAGCACAGCGGGTAGGGCATTTGCCTTGCACGCAGCCGAGCCGGGTTCAATTCCCAGCATCCCATATGGTCCCCTGAGTGCAAAGCCAGGAGTAACCCCTGTGCATCGCCAGGTGTGACCCAAAACCAAAAAAAGCAAAAAAAAAAAAAAAACACACATAAAGATGGTGTGAGTCGGTATGTGTTGTTTGTCATGCGTGGTCCTGCCTTGCTGTACCTGATATCTATTTCCAGTGCCTTTTTTGTCTGTTGGTTTGGTTTCTGGGCCAGACCCAGTGGCGCTCAGGGCTTGCTCCTATCTCTGTGCTCAGTGATCATCACTCCTGGCTCCTGGCAGTGCTCAAGGAACCACATGGGGATGCCAGGTTTGAACCCAGGTGGCTGCATGCAAGGCAGACGCCCCACCCACAGTACCATCAGTCCGCCCCTTCCAATGCTTTGAGCTGCTTATGTTCCTCCCAGATGCTTCATGGGCTGGCATTTTAAGCCTGTATCCAGAGAGCTTCTGGCCTTCCAGAAGCTGCCTTCCAGATTTCAGTGTCCTCTTGTCTACAGAAGGCAGGTTGATTTGGTGATGGAGTGGTGGTGGGGAGTGTGTTTCTGAGATTGCCTTTTCAAGAGAAGAAGGTATGTTTTTCAGTTTGGAGGTTGTTTTCTGTGTTTCTCTTATTAACATTTTCTTCACTCCATCTTTGCCTCCCCAGCTTTTTTCCTGTAATTTTGTAAGAGCCTTTCAAATTTCCTCCATGAGCTCTGACTTGCCGTTACATAAGCGTTTCCTGGAAATACAAATAGAGCCGAGCGACAAATCTTCCGAAAGCCCTGGAGGGGGATTTGGGACTCGACAGATTCTGTCTTAATATTTGAGTAGAGGGTAAGAAGAACATTCCGGACTAAACCTTAGCAGAAGTGTGTTCTGCTGGTAAGGACTGTGCGTTCTCCTTACTGCTCTGTAATTAAAACCCCGTGTAATTCTTGCAGAAGGTGAAGTCGTCAGTCATCCCCCAGGCTGGCGGGCGGGCCTGCTCCTGGGCTGCTCATGGGGGCCGGGACCCCCCTCAGCGTGAGCACCATGCCACAGAGAGCTGTGCCGCGGGTGACGCCCTTGCCCATCGCTTCCTGCACTCTCATTTGTTATTTGTTTTTGTGTTTGTGTTGCCCGGGCTGTCCTCCAGGCTTACTCCTGGCTCTGCACTCAGGGAGAGCACAGGGAACCTTTCGTGGTGCCGGGGATCAAACCCCGTCAGCCGTGTGCCAGGCAAGCACCTTATCCCGTCGCGCCAACCCCATAGAATAAAGTTTTTAAATCAGAATAAAATTTAGAAATAGCCTGGGGAGGTGATTCAAGCAGCTGGAGCACATGCCTGGTTGGCACCGTGTGTGGACCTCAGCCCCTCGTACCACAAGACCCCCAGAGCACCCCCCGGGTATAGTTCTGGTGGCCCCTGTGAGCATCACCGGGCCTGAGCAATACAGCATTGCTGGGCTCAAGCACCGGGAACCCCAGGCCAAGCACCAGCATATTAAGTTTTGTTGGGTGTGACCCCCCCTGCACCCCTCTTCCCTCCCCTCATCCCCAGTTTAGGAACATGAGACAAATGGGAATGAGAAGAAGAAAGTCCAACTCCTTCCTTAATGTTTGTTACAATAGAGGCTGGAGTGATAGTACAGCGGGGAGGGCACTTAACCTTGCACACGGCCAGTGGGTTCGATCCCCGGCATCCTGTATGGTTCTCTGAGTGCAGAGCTAGGAGTATCTCCTGAGCAGCACCCTGCGTGCAACACATATACGCGCACGCACACACACACACACACACACACACACACACACACACACACTTGTTTTGGTTTTGTTTTGTTTTGTTTTTGATCAAAATATTGCTTAGGAAATCACACCGATCTATTTGCCTTCATAGAGCCAGAGAAATCTCAACATTCAGAAGTGAAATGTAAGTCTCCGTTCATTCCTAGTACTTTCCTGTGGCCGTGCAGGAAGGTAACGTGTGTGCCTTTAGTGCATGGGGGTCTAGGCAGAATTGTAGACTGAAATAAAGATGTTCCCGGAAGTAGTCTTACCCGTTCAGTGATGCTGGCGGCACACTGGCCTCCCAGTAGTGAAATAATCAACCCTGCCAGGGTCACTATACTCAGGATCCTTCCAGCCAAGTGAACCTGTTTTGTCAGTGATGGCTGGAGCACTAGCACAGCGGGTAGGGCATTTTGCCTTGCACGCGGCTGACCCGGGTTCAATTCCTCCGCCCCTCTCAGAGAGCCTGGCAAGCTACCAAGATTGTTTCGCCCTCATGGCAAAGTCTGGCAAGCTAACCATGATGTATTCGATATACCAAACACAGTAACAAGTCTCACAATGGAGACGTTACTGAGCCCGTTCAAGCAAATCGATGAACCACGGGAGGATAGTGATAGCGACAGTGGTCTCTTCCAGCTGGCGACTGCTGGGGACCAGCCCCGGTGAACAGATCTGAAGCAGGGATGCCACAAAGGATTCAGAAAAAAGAAATAAGAGGGGAAAAAGCACAGGGTTAGGGGTCTCACAGCCTCATGGGCTGAGAGACCATCTTCATGTACAGTATTAACTGCTTAGGGCCAGTGACCCTCAGAAAGGGAAGAACCACATTCTTTCACCAAAGGCCTGACAATCTTCAGCTGTCTGCGCTAGGCTTCTACTGCCAGGGCCCAAGCAATAGCACAGTGAGCAGGCGCTTGCCTTGCACACGGCCAATCCAGGTTTGATCCCCAGCATCCCATATGGTCCCTCAAGCACCACCAGGAGCAATTCCTGAATGCAGAGCCTGGAGTAACCCCTGAGCATCATCAGGTGTGACCCAAAAAGAAACAAAACAAACGTATCCAAGGGCCTTCATATATCGCCTTTATATATCGAGACAAACATCTTTGAAATGGGCTTCCTCAGAGGAAGAATCTTCCTGGAGAAAGAGCAGCTCCAGGAACCCGCTCCTGACGGCATGCCCCTGTGGCACCAGAATTCTCCCCGTAAAGGTCTCCTGAGCTGCCTATCCTTCCTTTCTCTGTCTGAGCCCTTGGTGGATCCTTTACACCACTGTGCACACAGGCACTAACTCTGGAGAGGTGTCTGGGTCCGGGGACCAGGGAAGGTGCCTGGATAGACTCCCATAGCCCGGGGGCAGCTGCTGCATCAGTCTCAAAAAAAATAAAAAATACATCCTGCTGCCTCTCCACTAGAACATTTCGGCCGAGTCTTTCTTGCAGACTTTTCCCTCCTAAAAATTTAG